GTGAAGGGCTTTAATACTTAATACTTAATAAATTTCATTTCTTTTAGTCATTACTTTCAGTGGACGATGACACGGACAATCCAGATGATAGTGTATTCTACCAAGTGCAGTCTCTCTTTGGGCATTTGATGGAAAGCAAGCTGCAGTATTATGTACCTGAGAACTTTTGGAAGGTATTTCACCCAATAACTCTTTTAGATTTAAATTTGTTATATATTTGGAGTTTAGCTACGTTCCTTCTCTAGTGATAATAGTTTCTTGTCTTTATTAACTCTAGACTAATTCCATTGCCAACAACTTATAAAAGAATTGGCTACAGTGGCGTCACTAGGGTTGGTGTCACCCAGTGCAGTAACTCATGGTGTCACCCTCTCCATGGACCTTCTTCTGTACTGGACCATATAGAATCCTTAGTAATGTTTTTTGTTACTCTAAAATCATAATTCCTGTGTAGCACTTCTTTTCCTTTAATTACCACTTCATTCTCAAAAAAATTTTTGATAGAGTTTCACAAATACCATAAACCAACCCAAACCTATTGGGGTCAAGTTTATTCCAACTCATAATATTGTAGCTAAAACACCAGAAAATTTGACAAAGTCAGCGAGTATAAAAACACCAGCAGCAACGAAAACAACAGTGCTTTATTAACTCTAGACTAATTCCATTGCCAACAACCTGTAAAAGAATTGGCTTGTTGTATACCTGTGCCAATTTCACTAATGCCTTTAAATAAAGAACATTATTTTTTTAACCCGACTTTACTATGTTTCATGTAATGGAGGATTGCCTTGTGTTTTCCCCAGTAAGTTGGTTCATTTCTAAGAGAGAAACTGTTGTATGGCTGCTTGTAGTGCATGCTGATGAAACCGCATGATTCAAAGTGTTATTGTAATTGGGTAATAATGACAGCTCTGACTGGAGCGCATTAGAAGATTCAAAAAGTAAATTAGTATAGAGTTTTAGCCTTGTAGATACATTGATACATGTAAGCTGGGCTTACGAAAAATGCTTTCGTTGTTAAAACTAACTACAGTGATATTTTTATAAAAAATTAAAAATTCCTTCTGAAACACTGCACAAAAATTTTATAGGCAATCATTCTGATGTCACCCCCTCTGACAGTGTTACCCAGTGCTCTCCACACTTCCTGCACCCCCCTAATAACACCACTGATTGATTATACCATTCTTCTTGAAATTGGTGCTTGGTTTCAAATGATTAGAATATTGAGAAAAATAGACTTTCATAATTTCTAGAGTTTTTCTAATTTTAATTATTTTGAATATTTCTCATAACTTATTTTAGCTCTGAAATATTTGTTCAAATCATTCCTGTGAACCTATGCCAATTTCACTACTGCCTTTCAATAAAGAACATTATTTTTTAACTTGGTTTTAC